CAAGGTCAGGTCACCAGGTCACTTCAAGTAACCTCACCTCATAAAATATTTCAATGTATGCCATAGCTACACTCAGTGACCGATCGCTTTGAAACTTTCAGCGATTGATCAAATTAACAGTATGTACAGTAGGTCTACTAAAAAAGTCCCCCGCTCCAGAGGCGGCCGGCCGGCCGAACCCCCGGATTCCAGCCCCGACTCTATTGCGCAGGCCGCGGCAGCGACACGGGTCAGGTCGCGGCGCCCGGCGAGTGGGTCAGTTGGCGGCGGCCGGCCGTGGAGTGAGGACGCCGTGTGTGGGGCGCAGAGATGCCGCAGTGCAGAGGAGGGGAAGATAATGACTCTGCACGATGCCGGAAATGATGCCTTTGTGATCTAAATTAAACACCTGCAGTGTATATCCTCCCTTGCCCCATTCCTATTTTATCATAATCCTTCAATAATCCGTAATGGCCATTCAACGCAAGCAAGCAAACAAAACAACCCGTTTAGCGGCGACATCATCTCGGATAAAAAAGCGACAGTGATGATTAGAATAGACTTAGCGCGAGGGCAAATCGAGGGGTACAACTATACATATGTATCACATACCGAGTATTTTATTCCCATCTAGCGAATTAAGATTGGGGATCTTGTCCAACAAGTCAGCAGCCGTTCTAGACACAGATAAATGCTTTGTTTTCGGTCGCATCATTATCTGCAATAATTCGAAGCGAGGTTTAACCCTCGCCGGCCGAGAAGAAGGGGTGGATGCCGCCACCATGTATTTTTTTGCGGTAGCTCAAAGCACACTGATGATAGAAGGCTGACATTTCACATGCCTTACATTTCATTCATGCCGGATCACTTGACATCAACCACGTTTTCAGGTCAGGTCACTCCTAACTATGACGTCTTAATTAGGTAAACCTCTGCACGGTTGTCGGTTATAAAATGATGCAATCCGCAATTCACTTAATGTCATATAAGCATAATGGGGAAATATGGAAACTGTTAATTTGGCGTCGGAAATGATCTGAAACTATACCTCAAGCACATGAAATCGTGACTTCATACATTCTTGGCAAGGTCTAATGCTTCACTTTTGCATTGGTCACCTTGCGTGACGTCATTTATGACGTCACTAGGGTCATACGAGTGCTTCGTCAATAACTCCCGATCAAAATGAGCTAGCCAGTCGGGACAGCCATCAATGGACTTTGCAAGACTTGCCGAATCAAATGTTATGCAACATGTCCTCCTTTCAACAGCTTCGTGACCTGTGTTGCTCTAACATGACATTAACCTGAGGTAAACATCCTAAATTGCTTCACCTAAGCAAAAAAGCATGTAAATCGACGCGTCTGAGAACAGAAAACACGATTGTATCGAAATGACGATAATGCGTTTAGTTTTTTACCAAAAACCGATCAAATGCCTTAGGGGCCCTTGACCTGTCCTAAGAGGTCACTGATATTTTAAAATGGGGTACCAGTTGCTGCGTCACGTAACGACGCAAGCGCTCGTTTTTTCCGCGAGGCTCTAGCAGCTAGCTCAATTATAGGAGCTAAACATGGGGTCGGGGAATCGCTCCCTTCTCACTCACTATTTGGCCGGGATAGTGTTTGCAATTATTGTTAAAATCTAGCATTTTAAGATTTCAAATGGCCCATTTTTTCCCGCCCAAGTCTTTCAATTCAAGGTCATAACACCAGGTCACGTCAAGTGACCTTACCTCAAGGAAGGTGCCTGTGCTCATCATATTCATATCTAAATACACCGACTAACCGATCGCTTCAGAACTTTCAGCGATTTTAATGGGCAACAGTATAGGTATGTATTTGAAACGTTTACTTTGCAAGTTTGACATTGTTGACAGAAAGGCCGGGTCAATTTTGAGATCGCTCAAGTCAATGGGAGAAAATTGAATTGAACTGCGCTTTTTTGGACAGAACGCATAATAAACACTCTGAAAACATGTGGTGCTGAGATACAAAACTGAATGAGAAAATTGTTTTTTTGTTGGGGGCCATCTTTTTCGGTCTGAAAAGGCCCTTGCAGAGCCATGACATAACTATGCTCTGGTGTAGTAATTGGGTTGTGCGAGCCAGCGACAGTGATCTGCGGAAGCGAGACTGTTCCCGTGGGACGATTGCCCTGTCGGGACGGTCCAGCCGTCTCCCAAACGGTCACCCGAAGACGATTATGTGTCCTGGAATGGATCCGACATCAACTACTGGTTGGCTGGTGGGGTGACCTCCAGTCCAGAGAGGGAAGCATGAAGACTAGGGGCGATGCGGATTGGTTTTTCCTGAGGATAGCGAGGACGGAAGGAATCTAGCACCCTTGAACCTTCCTTATACTGAATGTATCTCAAGCTGTTAAATCTCCTAAGCGTTTTTTCTCGACATCGTCAAGGTATCATTAACAAAAATATGAAATCCGGGAGGATAAATTAAATATAGAAATTGTGGCCAACAGAACATTATCAGTTGCGTTCAACATACTCGTAAGCATGTTCACACATCCAGCTTACATATGAGCCATGTAATAATTATTTTTGATAGACATGCTTGAGTTATGAAATCATCTGAAGTGTTTGTAAAGTTCCACGATACGGATCTAATATCCTGCTATGCATTATGACCATTTCTGGTCAGGTCATGTCTTTGAACATAGGCCAAATTTTTCAAATGACCTTTAAAGATCAACTTTTGATTCATTCGAAGCGTTTTGATAAGAGGAACACGAGGCTGGTAAAATTAATTTCATGCAAGTTTTAAGCTAAAAACTTTTTAGTGTTTGTGGAAAAGCAATTGGTTTTCTCATAATACCTACCGATGGTGGCAACTGGCAGTTGTTGTTATTTACATGCTAAGCCGTTGACCTTAATTAAATCTGACAATATTATTCAGACATAGCAGTAAACGGGCTGATTGTTGTGTTAAGTTAGACTCTTTCGGTCGATTTCAGAGTGGGAAAGATGATAGGAATTAGGGGGAGACAGGGGGCCTGGGCGGGAGTCCTGGACCTCATGCTCCGCTGGGGCCGAGCCCATCACGTGGGTTGGATTGCACTGACACATGGATAGCTCTGGGCGGTGTTTCACGGCCCCGCGCTGCAGCACGCTGCGCTGCGCTGCTGCATTGTTGCGGCGGTTGATATGAATTCGGCTCCACGCTAGCGTTGCGAGCTTCCGAGTCTGTTGATGTTTCCATGGAAATAGGAAAACCAATGCACCGGTGCGCGCAACGCACCCTGTCTAAGCAAAATTTTACCATCGATGACCTCTAGTGACATGACCTCTGGCTATGACCCGATCCAAAATTGGCTGAAGTATTGTTTTTCTTCTTTTTGCTACTTTTGACGCTACTTCGAATACCACTTAAATGCCCAAAGCTGAGTTAAAAGAATGATGCTCAATCCCCATTTCCCCTCCAACAGAGCGTGAGAGTCTAGGCATTCCTGTGGGGCACGGGCTCTCATAATCATTGTGGCCATGAACATCTACTGCCATTCTTTAACACCGGTTTCGCTGCGCTGAGCGGTGGCCGTCCCGTTTGTTGGATTCTACAGCTGGCTGGCGGAGAGCGTTACCGGCCGCCCGTCCACCGCCCGCGGGCCGGACCGAGCGGTCCCGCTGACCCTACCTGACCTGAGCCCGGCGCGATATGGGACAGGCAGACGGGGGTTCGGCTCAGCGAATGCAGCGCCCACTGGTGCTGGGGACTTTTTTAATAGACCTACTGTACAAAATTTATCTATCGGAATTTTCATATCGATGACCTAAGGTCAGGTCAATTTCCCGACCTCTCCATTATATGTCAATGGGAGACAATTCAAAACCGCCTCTTTTGGACGAAAGTCATTCTAAACACTCTCAAACACCGAATTACAAGTAACTATATGTCACACTGAACGTAAAAACGGCACCCATAACCTCTCGTTATGCCCCTGAGGTCATCTCAGGTCACGAATGGTATCTCAGTTTTTCGCGAATAACTTATGATTGAGGAAGCTAGAGCGATGAAAAATCCTTAGATGTATTCAGCTCGACGATACGGATCGACCGATATACAACATGAGTCATGACCCTTTCAGGTCAGGTCATGACCTTGACCTTTGGTCAAATTTTATGTTGACCTTTCTAGGTCAAATTATAGTTCATTCGATGCGTCTTGACGAGAGGAACACGATGCCGGTAACCGAAAGCTCGTGTATGGCTTGAGTCAAACGTTTTGCAGAAAACCCGTTTCCGAAAAAATCGTCTATTTTGGCAGTTTTTGCCCCCTGCAGGCAAGACCGTTGACGTTAGGTCAAATCCGAGAGGATTAGTCAGAAAGAGCGTTATTAGGGCTATAAAATGCGCTCTTCCGCGGCGGCGCTGTAGCTCTATTGGTTCCCGAGTTATGCGTCGGGCGTCGGCCTCTTGAAAGTTGTCGATATTCGACCTCAAAATCGGTGAAATTTGACCTTCAATGGCCTCTGGTGACCTGACCTTTGACCTGACGAAAAATGTGACCGAAGTGATATCGTCATTAGTTTTTATGCTTTCTCGAACGCCGCTTTCCCCGTATCGCTACGTGGTCCAGGAGCCGAGTTAGAAGGGGGGTTGTTCGCAGGGCGTGTAATTCCAGGACCCCTCAGCGGGGCGCGGGTTAACTAGCGCACCGACGGGGGTCGGTTATCCGACCTCCCAGTTTTTGCATCCACCCCCGTCGGTGCGCGGGTTAGGCGTGTTACTGGGGGGGGGGGGGCTTTCTGAAGTTTCAAATAACCATGCATCGACATTCTGAGCAGTTTGTCTGTGAAATCATCACGATTTTTGGAAAAAAGACGGAATGTTCTTGTATAGGCATGTCAAATCTAAAAATCTCATTTGTCCTCAAATATGCGCCATTATCTTTATATATCCGCCAAAATTATGAGGATGATTGTATGAAATGCCTTCTCCCTATCGCGCGCCGCGATAACGCCTTGAAAATGAAATATGTTTTAATCGCAGCCTGATTATCTTCTAGCCCGGAGCATATACGACTGGCAGAGGAGGGTGAGCAGCGAAAAGAACCTTTGGATTCCAAGACCACAGCGAAAAGAAAAGAGCTGATTTGGCACGACGTTACCGAGCAACTGGACATAACAAGTACGAATATCTCAGGCGTTTTTTAGACATACATGTATTTAGCTGCCTACCTGCATGATTATGCACATTAGCAGTTTATGTTGAGTAGGTATGGAAGTGGTTAAATTGTAGATATATCCCTACATAGTTGTAAAACTGTGCAAATGTAGGCAAATAGTAACGACTTATTAAGTAACGAGTAGAGTATGTGTTCGGTCACATGACCATCTGTCCTCAATGTCTGGCTGTTATCAAATAGTATACATAGGTACAATGGATGTGTACATACAATGTGCATTGTGCAATGTAGACGTGTGCATGGATCCGAGTGATGGATTAATGTCAGTGAATCTCAAAAGTCAAAACAAACGACAAAATAGGATAGGTGATCACATTCATGGATTCCTCATAGAAGGTGCATCCTAGATCTATGATCTCAAATGATCTGACAGTGATGACAAACCAAAAACATGTATCTATTATCTGAGTGGATACTACCATATGCACCCTTTAAAATCATTTATCCATATGATTTCATGTCAATTAATGTCACAGTGAATAATGATTAGTAATCATATAACAGGGTGTCCGGAAATTGATTGCACACTCTTCTAGTCCATTTGACAAGGAAACAAAACATGCATGGGTCATGGCTTATATACCGATACACGCTCCACCCAGTCGCACACACTCCCTCATACGGTCGGGCATGCCGCACATCACGTTATCCAGAGTCTCCGCACTGATGCTGAGCCACGCTCGCTGGAGTTTCCTGATAAGCGCCTTCTCGGTGGTAGCCGGCTCCATCATGTCGAGCTCGCTCTGCACGATAGCCCACACGTTCTCGATGGGCGACAGGTCAGGGCTGTTGCCCGGCCATACACCCTTCTCCCAAAACCCTGGGAGGTTGTCCCGGCACCACCGTTGAGTGCTGGTGACGTGATGAACTGGAGCGCCGTCTTGCTGGAAGATGGCCTCGGACATCTTCGAGAGCAGCTCGACCTGTGCTGGCGGCCCCGCCTGCCTCTTTCGTTTCATCGCCGACGCTGCCGACTTTTTTAGGGACCTCCTCCACGCAGTACTGGGCCGTCACGGTCTGCCCGCGGGGATGATCTGGAGGTCTGACAGGCCCTGATGTCTCATCATGGCCCGGACCTTGATTTTCAGCGGCTGCTTCACAGTGTCGATGGCAGGCACTTGAGCGCTGCTGTGCACCTAGACGCGCTCGATCTGGCGATTCGGTGGGTGCACGAGCTCGAACACCAACTCAACTCATCGCTGAACAAGACCAATCTGAACATCGCCAGTCCTGGATGGTCCAGTTTTTCCGTTCCTGGAAAAATGCCAGCTGTTCCCGCTTCTGGGCTTCGGTCAGTTTTGGCTGGCGGCGCAGTTTTAGCGGCTTGAGACCCAAGCACTTGGTCATGTAGTTGTGAACAGTGGTCTTCGACACCGGGCGACCCCTTCTCAGTCAGCTTTTTTGTCAGTTTTCGCGTCGATTGGCGTCGTTTCAGCACGGCTTGGCGAGTACGATTTTGGCCACTCTGCTCAGCACAGTTTTTCTCACACGACCCTTGCGATTCTCCAGTGATGCATGTGTGATCCAGTGATCACGCCCAGTAATAAAGGGTCCGGCGAGATACATCCACTTGTCGGGCAACATCGCCTACCGTCATCCCGGCTTCAACTATCCCAACCGCGCGGTGGCGCGTCGCCAAAGTGTGCTCACTCACAATTCCCGACATGGGGTCCGCGCGCAAAGACTGCCTCTCGGAAAGTGACCTGTGGTCGCTCACTGCGGTTGAGGTCAGGCCACCTGCTAGGTCATATGATCAACTGACACTCATGGGTGCCCGGGGGCGGGGTCGCGATCCTCCCTAGCCGTTTTGTGCGAGCGTACGGCATATGGACACGCCGGACAGTGTGCAATCAATTTCCGGACACCCTGTACAGGGTGTCCCAAAAATAATATCACACCTTTCCAGCGTCAATTTCATGAAAATAACAAAAATGAGAGGCGCATTTTTCTTACATATGCATCCCACCTTCTCCCTGATGCGGGCAAGCATACGGTCCGGGACATCAGACACCAACATGTCCAGCTTCTGTGGACTGATCTTGGACCAGACAGATCGAACGTTCCTGGTCAGCGTGCGTTCAGGTTATCCTGGCGCCGTTTTGCTCACCTCTTACAGGACGATCGCCGAAAGATTTTCTATCGGCGACAGGTTGGGGCTATTCACTGGCCATTTGTACTTCTCCCAGAATGCTGGGAAGTTCGATCTGCTTCGGATCAATGATTCCAATCGATCTTTCGACGAATAAGATAGCTGGGTCTATGATCTGTTTGGATCCTCGATCAAGATACGTGGGATCAGATCTGAGATCCATTTTGTCGGATCCGTGAACATGTCTTGTAAGTACAATGCACAGCCCTCTGCAGACTGCGTGGTAGGTATTCTTTTTTCGACAAAACCGATAATAACTCAAAGGCTAAGTTATCGGTCGGTCGGATCCATGCTCCACTCCTTCGATTGGTTCTATCACTGTACGAAGTATACAACTAGTGTAGCAACAAAAAAATGCAAAAGTTGTTTTGGGGGCAAATATAAACTTTTTGTGTTGTTGCAAAACTAGCCGGAAAATGTATACCCAAATAAGCCCAATCTAAGGTGCGGAGTCTCGCGCGTCTTGCTGTTACGATTTCCGAATGACCGTTAGCATAGTATTCGCGTTATTCTCGGTTTTGTCGAAAAAAAGAATACCTACCACGCAGTTTGCAGAGGGCTGTACAGCCCTCTGCAGACTGCGTGGTAGGTATTCTTTTTTCGACAAAACCGATAATAACTCAAAGGTTATGTTATCAGTCGGTCGGAACTCACTGCAAAATAGATGCGCCATGCTCCACTCCTTCGATTAGGTCTATCAATATACAAAGTTTACGCCTTGTGTGGCGACAAAATGCAAAAGTTTGTTTTGGGGGCAAATATAAACTTTTGGGTTTAATTGCCGAACTAGATGAAAAATGGATACGGTGATGATGCCAATCTAAGGGGCTGGGTCTAGCGCGTCTTGCTGTTACGATTTCCGAATGACCGATAGCATAGTATTCGCGTTATTCTCATTTTTGTCGAAAAAGAATACCTACCACGCAGTTTGCAGAGGCTGTACATGCAATGGTGCACATGCGATTCCCACTGAAATGCTACAATTTTATTTCTTTATAGGGGACCGAGCAAAACAGCAGCGGAAAGGCACAAAAGACAATTATCGCAGCGTCCGTGCCAAGCCGCGCTCCCTGCCTAGCGGACCGGCTGCAGTAGCCTGGCGCCGCTTCAAGAGCAGCAGAAGCTGTACCTCTGTACCTTGGGCGCGGGCTCGGATGCCAAGGCGTGAGTATGGCTTAACTTGTCTTCTGGCAGCCGGTATTACTCCTCGAAGCTCGTAACATGTTCTTTACTTAGGCTCACCCCAGGATCGTAACTCGAGGCTTCGTACCATGTTACGAAATCATCAAAACTACTTTGTAAGTGCTCAAATGTGTGCTAAATTCGAAATGAGCTCCAAAACTACTTTTGAAACACGTAAAACTCCATAAAGTGAGCCAAGGTCAGCAAAGGTCAACTTGACCTGACCTCTAGGTGACCTTGACACTCACTGCAATGCATGGGACCAACATCATTTCACATGTTTGAATGTTTACAACTACAAAAATACTGGAAACACGCGGTTACTGTGAGCCGACAAACGCCGAATCGCGACTCCGACCAAACATGGTCTCAAGAAACAGGTCACACATCAAAGGCCATTTGGGTCAGGGTCATGACCCCTCCCCCCTTGGCTGGGGCATACGTAGAAAACTAATAGGTCCGGCGCGGGTTGAGTTAGATTGTGCGCTAAGCAGTTATGCTCTATTTGATTTATTGCTAAGATCAGACGGTTTTTCCATTTCAGTACCTGCCCGAGTCTCCGGGGGTCGCACTCTGAGTTGACGCATCTTGACGCCGCAGAAGGTGCCGGAGGGGAAACGCGTACACTCCAACACCTGAGCGCAGCGGCACGGAAACGCCCAGTGCTGTGGCACCAACAGGGGTGTCTTCGACGCTGGATCAGCTGAACGCAAGGGAAGAAATAGCAAAGAAAAGTAAACACGCGGGTTTTTTCACTGAACTAGACCAGATGCTGGAACGCATGGGAGAGCGCAAAGCGTGTGAGTTCAAAGCTAGAGTGTACGCGGAGGCCGTGAAGACTGCTTTCAATTTGTAGCTTCTAGCTGAGTGGGCCATACCGAAAGCTACATGTTTTGTCGTGCACTGTTTCAATTCTGTTCAGCCTGGAAAGTTGACCCATGATGTATTGTGCTTTGTGAAGTTCATATACCTACCTAAGTTTATAGCTTGCGGGAATACGCGAGATTGTACATTGTATTGTATTTTATTATATATTTTCATCAACCTCTTCCGTGCGAACACAGTTTTTTTCGGAGGTTCGAGTCATACACAGCTAAGAGAACTTAAAACTATACATGGAAACAATGATGGCACATACAGGCTCCCACCCAATCAGAACTTTCAGGTGATTAATTTTGACCACTTCTATAAATCATCCTCAGACGGCTTTTGAACTGCCCGATCGACGAGCTCTGCAACACAATCTTTGGCAGTGAGTTCCAAGAGGTAGCGGTGCGGTACGAGAAAGTACTCTGGGTGGCGACGAGTCTCACTCTAGGCAGGTCAAATTGCTCAGACCGGGCGAGGCGGGTGTCACGGGAGGCTGTGTCGCGTCTCGGAGTAAATAACCGGCGCATCGCAATCGGGGTATCCGGATCATGAAGCGCACGATATACACGAATACAGTCCCGTTCTGAAATCACATCGTCAAAGTTCACCCAGCCAAGAGACCTGAGCACGGGAGACATGTGCTCGGCTCGTCGTGCGCCAGTGACCACACGGGCTGCGAAATGCAGCAGCTTTTGTATGCGCTTCAACTGGCTGCTGCATGCACTAGCCCAAACTGGCAAACAGTACAGGATGTTCCCCTTTCGCATTTCGTTGACCGTGAGACAAAAGAGAATCGGCCCGATAATCAATTCCTGAGGGACGCCACCGGGAGCACAGTGGTGCCGCCGCGAACCACCTGTCTCCGATCACTCAGGTAGCTGGCAAACCAATCAGACGAGATGCCGTACCATCCCATCTTACTGAGAAGGACGCCGTGGTCGACGCTGTCAAATGCCTTACTAATATCCAGGCGTGTTATCTATGCTACGTGACCTGAGTCGATCTTCTTCGAGATCCTCTCGACAGCGTCGACCAGGGCGTCCTCTACGCTGTGTCTGCGTCGGTAAGCATATTGTGTGTCACTCAGTATGCCGTTATCGCATAGTTAAGCCGATAGCTGGTCGCACACCACTCGCTCACAAATCTTTGACAGTACCGACAACAATAAAATTGGTCGATAATTTTTGGCAGTGTTGACATCGCCGGACTTGTGAATCGGTACAGCAAGCGCAACTTTCCATTTCAACGGGAACACGCCGGTCCTTATCGTTGCGTTAATCAGGTGGAGAAGCATCGGACCAACCACAGGGAAACATTTCCGCACTGCATGCATAGGCACACGGTAGAGTCCTACCGCTCTGGAGCCACTCATACCCCTAGCTGATAGCTAATGACAGCTCCGGTAGTGTGACGGGCTTTAGCTTGAAAGCGGACGAGCACACGGTAACGGGACGCGGCGCACTCTGTTCTACGGCAACACGATCAACATCGGCAGGCAGCTCATCAGCGACACGAGCCCCGATCGAGGAAAAGTACTCGTTAAACGTGTCTGCGTGTTCTGGTCCCATCGCCAATGGGCGGGCCTCCACCGCACATCGCACCCGATCGAATGGCGAATTGCTTCAGCCGCCGCCAAAAGCCGCAATGGTCCTGGTGAGCCAGCTGATCGCAGAGAAACTCCCTGCGTGCGCCGGCAAGCTTGCTCTTCACCTGGTTCCGGAGGCGGTGCTAGATGGCGCGGTCTTCTTCCGTCCGGTAGGAACCTACTGCAGCCAGTCCGTGTGAGCGGCGTCCCACTCGGCCATCAGCGCCTGGAGCTCGGGGTTTTCCTTAAGCCATGGACACCCAAGCGGTGCCGATCTCGTCCGAAAGGTCGGGCAGCGACGGTCCATGACGGCGTCCCAGATGGTCATGAACTCGTCCAGTTTGGCGTCGACGCCGACAGCTCGAAACATATCACGTCTTCGACGTTGGAGATAGCCTGAGTAATGTTGAAATGAATGTTAAATATCAATTGTGCTAATGCACATATTGTAACCGTGCATTGTCTTGTGTAGCCCTCCCCGACAGAGGAGGCAGTGGTGCCGCCTTCTTTTGTAGGTAGGGGGCTCTGGCGCTGTAGCTCAACGGGGTGAAATGGCGGGATGGTTGGGCACTGCCCTCTGTCGGAA